CAAATAGATCAAAGAAATCTGCCAAAATAAGTTAAACAAATCCTAAAATAATATTTATTTTAATTTAATGTGGAAGTATATTTATTTCATTTTAATAATTGATTTATAGTAATATTTTTTATTATTTAAGTTTGAATAAAGGGGCTCTTAAAAATAAAGTTTGTCAGTGAATTCATTAGAAATCATTTTCCTTGTTGTCTTTCTGTTGGATTATAGACCATAAAATTGATAAATGCAGCATGCAGTGAAACTGTGATGATAATAACGTCTTGCTTTAAAGCGTGTGTTTGTTTGCGCATGTCAAAGAGTGACGGGGAGAATTGCTGTATGTAGAATTTTGTCTGTGCAGGAAGTGGCGTATTCATGAAAGAAAGGTTAGTAACCACTTCTTTAACCTCTTAAAACCCACCTACTTTTGGGTATTTTGCATACCCAAATCGTAAGCAAATAACTGAGGAACTGTAACACTGAATTACATGTGTGATACATCATTTGAAAGATAACACCTTCTAGTTTCTAATAATATAAATGAAACTAGTGTGACTAAATTACAGCCTAAACTGCATCAGTTAAACATTACTTAAAGTTGTTTTTATTTCCTTCTTGTAAATAATAGTTTGTTTTTTTAACAGCAATAATAAAGACATGCTTGAGAATAGGCATGTCTCATTCTATTACATTTGTTTTACTTCATGTCAACCAGAAATGTAGAAAATTTAAGAACTCCAGGTATAACAGCTCCAGAGCTGTAGGGCTTTGAACTGTTGGTGTCACCAGCATCTTCAAACCTCTTCAAATGTGTCAGATTGTGCCAAATTGTGCCAAATGACCCATAGAATAACAAAAGCCTTTTGATGGCCACAAAACATTACAAACATATAATTAACACACAAACATATAATTTCTCCTGTTGAGATCTGTTAATGATAGAAATACATGCATCTGCCATTCAAACTAGAGGTTTTGAATCTGTTATACAACAGTTACAGTGGGAAGAACAGCTACTCTCGAAGTCTTTAAGGAGTATTAACCTGGGATTTTGCTTAGAAATTCCTTCTATAATTGTCTTAAATTCATGTTGAATGATTTTTAGGAGGAAAGAAGATTAAATAGAACTCCTTCAGATCTCTTTTCATACAGGCACATATGAATTTGGCTTGTGTAAATGTACATCCATGTGGATGTAGGATTAGCAACATTAGCAGTTAGCCATGGCTTATTTACCAATTATTTCCTGGGCTGTTTCTCAATTCACTAGAATGCGAGTATGGACTCGTGTCCTCACCAAGTATGTTCTTGACAAGAACACAGGAAAGTCTTGACTCTGGGAGAACGTCAGCATGCAGCATAAATCTGGGTCAATTGGAACAGAAGTGTACTCGTGATGTCACCACATGCCCGGCTCGTCTGGAGCTGCATTTCACCTCCTGTCATTAACAGTCTGTAGATACTAATAAATTACTTTTTTCATTTAGTGGGGGAATAATAATTAAGACAGTCAGATAAACACAAATCAAATTTTGCCAAATAAAACAAAAAAAATCGCCATCAGAGCCAGCGGTCCTTCACACACGGCTGAATTTTTTTTTTTTATTCGGCATTAGATTGGTAAATGGACCATAAAGTGACACTTTAAAGTGATATTATTCTCACCTCAAATGATCTTAAAACATACTTTTATTGAACAACAGCAACAGAAAATAGAACTCCACTGAGTTCTCTTTTCTGAGCGCTCCATTGAAAGCTGCTGCTGCCGCAGTGCATGCTGGGACAGCTGTCAATCTCAAGAATGGACAAGTCTGCTCTGATGCATGCTGGGTAAAGAGGGAGGGGCGAGAACATCATCCGGGGACTTTGTCCGTTCTCGGTCTGCTGTTCTTGTGAATTGGAACAGTATTAGGGCTAAGGCTGATGACGTTTCACAAGCACATGAGAATGCACAGGTACACATATTGAGAAACAGCCCTGGTCTCTTACGCAGCAGGTTAAATGTTGCACAAACAATAATACTTACTGATTGGCTGCAGTTCAGTCCCTGATTGGTGGGATCGTAGCATATAGCAAGGCAGGCTAACATTAGAATCTTTTAATGAATGATGTGTATCGAGATCAGAATCTCACTTTTTGTGTAGAGCGCACTCTTCCGGACTTTTTTGGTTTGCACAAAGATTTCACACACCCAAAAACAAAAAACAAAAACAAAGCTAGCTAAATTCAGATTCCAGATTTTAACTGAGGCCCAGTGCCAGCTCACAGGTCATGTGATGAAACAGTCAGATTTCTGGGTGATGAGACTGTTAGTCACAGACTGAAGACAATAATCCAAAAATTCACTCGGTGTGATTTTTTTTTTATTGATTAAATTAGTTGTATTTAATTTCATCACACAAATATTTGATACACCAGAAAAAATAATTTGGTGCAGAAACCTTCATTTGCATTTAAACATATCAGATGTTTCCTGTAGTTTCTGTTGAGGTTTGCACCCACTGCAGCAGAGATTATGAACCTCTCCTCCATACAGATTTTCTCCAGATCCTTCAGCTTTCAATGCAGTTGATGTGTAGTATTGCCTTTGAGCTCCCTCCAAGGATTTTGTACTGGGTTTAGGTCTAACTAGTTCCTGTCTAACTAGATTAATTTGACTCCAGGTCCTTGAGATGCTCATTATGGAGCCACTCCTTAGGTTTATGCTTCGGATCGATCCATCTGTAACGCCTTTACTGAGGGAAAGTGCTTGTTGGCTCAGATACAGTTTTCCTGCCCTCTTGAGAAAAGTAATGATTTTTCTATCTCAGTGCTTCACATTTGGATGGTGACCTACAAATTCATCACAATACAAATATGCCTGAAAAAGATCCTGTTAAATTGTTTGGTTCAGCAACATATGGTCCTAAACCAAACCTTTAATTCCACTATTGTGTCCACCTTAAGCATGCATTTTATAAAAACTCTGAATTAGACAAAAGCATATATTTTTATTTGTGGGGAGGTTTTAGATTGATCTAACAACATTCTAGCTTAAGCTGAAATCTACATGATGTATTCTAGAATAAATACTGCTGGGATTTACATCCTGTCTCCATGTTTTGATGTCCCTATTTGACCTGAATACTGTCCAGCTTCCTCAGTGTGGATAAACATTCAGTGTTATTCTGCTACTAACCAGCAGGAGGCGCTGGGACATGTTCTCGCCCTCCCATCCCCACCCCATGTGTCAGTATCGGTGATCAGATGCTGCCCTGTAGAATATCCATGCTTCTTCATGTAGGGAGATGGATTCATTGATCCAGACGCGTGTTCACTATTGAACTTCACTAGTCTGGTTCCTTCCGTTAAGAACTGGGATCTGTCCACCAGCTTCATCGATGTTCTGCAGCGTGAAACCTCCCACTTCTTCCACTCCCAGCAGAGTACAAAGAATTGATTTCCTCTATCATTCCTGTCTTATATTGTTCAGTAATTTTGCTTCCCTGCTTTGTTTTCACAGCTGGATATTTTATGCAACGAGGAAATCCTGGGGAAGGACCACACTTTGAAATTTGTTGTTGTGACGAGATGGAGATTTAAGGTAAAAAAAAACAACAACAAAAAACCCCAAAAGGTTTAGAAAGACTGGAACTTCTTTTTGAGCTGAGCATAAATTATGTAAACAAATTGAAGACGAAAATTTCAAATTATATCAAAATTTACTTCATGTTATTAAACCATTCAATCAAGAATGAATCCTGGCATATATGTTTAAACGTGACCTTGTTCTAATCCAGAGGTTCTCAGCCTGTCCTGCTGGGCCCATCTTTGGATGTCAAGAAAGTGTTTGCCCTCCTACCGCTGCAGTAAATTACATATTGTACTAAAATAAAACTCCTATCTCCTTAATTTTCCATTTCAATTGTAATTTTATTTTATTTACCCCAACAGTAGCTTTACTTTGATTCGGACGTTCAGCTCTGAAAATTATCTTAATTATTAGTCTCTCAACAGTGTTATTTCAGTAAAAGAGAAAAATAGTGTAGTACATACTTACCGGTACTACAATCTCAAACTAGGTCTAAAACAATTAATTGTGAATAATAAATTATGAAAATAATCATCAACTCATTTATTAATCGATTAATAATTAACTGCAGTATAGAGACTCTGAAACATTATAAGGACAACACGATTAGCAGTGATTATTACAGAATTACTCTAAATACATAAATATATTGCATTTAAAAATGAAAAATATGTTTCCTTCAATAAAGTTAATTTACAACTGGCTCCATTTTACCTTCACCTGGTTTGAACAAATCAAATCTTCATTAAGGCATCTTTTGCCAAACAATTATTGATACATTAATTGACATATTAGGAAAATAAGTTAGTTGCAGCTCTTAGTGTGATTAGCTGTGATAGATGAACATAACCACCAAATAATTCTAAAAGAAAAATTGCAAAAACTCATAAAAAAATAAGGAAAAAAAATCTTCAAATAAGTGTATTTGCTCATAATTTGTGCAATTAAATCGAATAATATGCCAATTGAAAGAGTAGTTTGTCTCTTACAATAAGAGCATTTGATAATATGCACTCGAAATAAGATAAATTAGTTGTTTTTTTTTACTTCAATCTTTAATCATCTAATTCCAGTGAATTTCCTTACTTACTTATAGGAGAAATACAACTATTTTAAGAAGAAAGTTCAGTTTTTACAGAGAAGAAAAGCGATGCATGGTTTTGTTGAAAATATCCAAAATTGAGCAAAAATGTCTTTAGAAAAAGTTTATTTACTCTTAATTTGAACAGGTCGATAAGATCTGCTTTTGAAATGAGTTTCTGCCATTAGAATAAGATGATTAGTTATTAAATACTTGAAACAAAATAATTATTAGATGTTTTCTTTAATAATATATATAATATGAAAAATGCATTATAATTACACGATATTTCAATAAAAATTATTTATATTTACATTTTATAGTGATAATAATAATAGATGAAACCCTGTGCAACCATTTAAACTTCATATATGGTTTTATTAATAAAGTCCAGCAAAGAAATAATAAAGTTTCTCTGGTCAGATGGAGCCCGATGTTTTTGGTCTACATGTCAAAAATGTTTTTAGAGAAAAAGGGGAACTTGGTCAGAGTAGATAAGAAGATGGAGGCAACTAAATCCTGGAAAAATCCTCAATGAAAACCTGATAAATGCTGTAAAAGATGAGACTGAGGTGGAGCTCCACCATCCAGCAGGAAAATCAAAGCATGTGCATCTCTTAAACCCAAATCTGACTAAGAATCTGTGGTCAAATGTTGACCTTTTGTCTTCAAAGAGCCTCTCTGGCCAGTTTGACTGATCTAGAGTTATTTTGTAGAGAAGCATTGCCTGGAATATCAGTGCTGATTAGAGATCTTCCTAATAGACCTGCTGCTATCTTCACTTTAAACTGTCATCTTCAGTCCAAATACAAACATCATTTAAAAAAAATACATTTTTGGAGTTGTACTGTGCTGTTTAACAGCCCAAACTTTCACAGTTTTGACATTAAAAAAGCCCTGAAGCTAAAGGAAAAAGGAATCCAAGTTTAGACAAAGCCCTAATGTTGTTCTCCATTTCAGAAATCTCCACTCCTGCTCCATTACAGACCGAAGATGGACCTGCTGTAGCTACAAAGGACACAATGGTTGTTTTATTTGGATTTCTTTGGTCGGATGATTTGCCGCAGACTTTGGTGAAACTTTTTTTTTTTAATTCTTTTCTTTTTTTTAATTATTATTTATGCAAAGACGATCAACCAACACCAAGCAAAACCCCTGACTTCAACAAAAGCCAGCAGTTTGACATCTAATGAGACAAAAACTGGCACAGGACCTGAAACGCCGGCTTTACGAACTAAAACAACCTCCTTCTGTTTTTTTTTTTTTTTTTTTTTTAGAATGATAAATCCTACATATGTGAACAAAAAGAAAAAATGGGAAAAAAAAGGAGAGAGAGCATATATTTATACTTTTGTACAGAAAAGACACAAAGCAAGACACTACTGGTGCTCAGTTTACACACACAAGATGTCGGGAGTCATCTGAACATGTTTCCACCCTTATCCCCCTCAGACAATGACTGACAGGAGAGGAAGGTTACATATATATATATATATATATATATATATAAAGGTGTCTTTTCACAACACAAAATGTTCTGGGAGCACAGAAAGTTTAAGGCAAAGTTATATAACTTACATTAATGTTAAGCTGGTAAATCATTTTTTCTCTGACCTTTTTTATTTTTTATTTGTTTGTTTCTTTTTTCATTACACCTGATTTCAATTCCTGATGATTGTCAATTGTGAATAGGCTTTTTTTTTGTGTAGTAATTTATGTTCGATATGCTGATATTGTACATAAAAATGTCCTTACAGAGAGATTGAAGAGAGACTTTAGACTGTTAAATAGAAAAAAAAAAGAGTGGATCCCTGAAGTGCTATCTATATGGTGATAAAGACAGACTGGCTATCAGTATCAGATTATATAAAAGCATCTTTATGTTGTCTGAGAAGGACACAAAACAGTTATATCTAATCCGTGACCATTTATGTGTTTGAGGGGTCTAAACATGTCAAGATGGCGGAGGAGGAGGCAAACGGTCCGGCTCCAGTTGTGGAGAATTTCCTCCCCATAAGACGTGTAAGATGTTGGCTTTTAGGTTCAAGTTGCTCATTTTAATTTGCTGTCCTTACACCAAGCGCTCCTTAATATCCGTCCTTTTTTCCCGCACAGGACCTTTATCTTCACCCATGAGAATTTTTTATAAACCAGACGCAGCAGCTCCATTTGCAGTTTGAAAATATTCTGGTGTTAAAATGGGGACAGAGTTGGAGACCAGGCAGGCCGGTTGCTACTGGTGTCGCTACCTTTTATTGTTTTTAAAGTCGTATTTCACTGCCAGCTGGAGAAGCTGCATGTTCTGCAGGTCCATTCCTAAAAGGTGATTTAAACAGTTTGGATGTTTTCAATTATTTTTTTTTAAGTAACACAAATTCAGGTTTATCAGTGGGACTCAGATGTTATTCAAAGCATTTTGATATTGAAATTCTGAATGAAAACGACCGCGTTTGGGTCGTTTGGTGCTTTAAATGTGCGTTTGTAATCTTAGGGATGTTTATATCTCAACTATGTGTTGTTCTTAACTGTGTGACACAAATTTATAAAATCCAATCCCGATTTTATTGGATTGGATTTACAAAAGGTCTTAGATTCCTGAGCGCCATCATTGTTTCTCTCCGCTCGGCTGTTCCAGTAAACCCACATCTCTGTTCAACACATATCTGCGTTTTTCATTAAAAAGTTGAATTCTATCAATAATTCACCTCAAAAAGTAAAACTCATGTATGATGTATGTCTGTGCTTCAGTGTAAACCCAAACCCAGTTTGGTTTCTGCATTGCTGGGTCTGGTGCACCTTATCGTACTCACTATAGTCCCCTATAGGTTCTCTATTGACCAATCAAACCCAGTGATACCATGATTTAAACACTTCAGCTAGTACTACAAAGCCAAAAGTTGATCTTTCTCTACCACACTTTTTTCCTTCCACTTGATTTTCCATCAGTAAATTTGGATACAGTGGGGACATCCAGCCTCTTTAGCAATGCACTGTAGCGGTGTACTCATTTTGTGGAGGATGTGTTAACTGCCTACTGGACAAGAGCGTCAGCAGGCTTCCTAAAGCTTATGTAGACTAGCCTGATAAACCAGACTAAATGTGAGATTAAATGTGTAATTTAGTCTGGCCCCAATGAATGAGACATCGGAAGATTGTTGATGAGAACAACCCGTTGTTTCAAACCATGTCTGTACCTATTGGCCAACGCTCTGAACAATGAGTGCAACTGACTGTGACGTGGGAAGTGCGACAGAAAGCTGGTGGGGGAGTGTAAACAAACATCCTGTCGGTAAAACGGCAAATACGTCCTTCAACACCAAGTCTAATCCTTCCAAAACTGATTCCAAAGCTGAGTCAGAAATCTCAGCGGTCCTTCACACACGACTATGCTGAGAGAGGGCCGCTGCAGACTGGCTGCGGTTAGCCCTGGCTACTGTTAGCCTTGGAGGTCCGCTGGTTGCAGCGGTTCTCTCAACTTCGGAAATAGTTTTTTTAATTACGCATTAAATCGGTAAATGGATCATATAGTGATGCTTTGAAGTATAATATTCTCGCCTCAAATGGTCTTAAAACTGAAACTGAACTGAAAGAGAACTTTTAACTTTCAATGAAGCGCTAAAAGCTGCTGCTTTCTCCAGCGTCGCGCAGCTTTGTCATCACGCCCTCAAAACCCGCCTGCTTTGCATCCAGAAATTTAAAACACATCTCTGCGTTGTGATTGGCCGCCAGTTCTAGGGCCTGGGGCATTGATCGAGGCTAGAACACTCGCAGGCAAAAATGATTTTGGCCGCTGGTGGGTGGGGCTAGTTTACTAGGCTATATGCAGACCATAACATGGACAGAGCTGACATAGTCTTTATTAAATAAAAACGCTGTCTTACAACCTGAGCTTTGAAATCATTACCTATAAGTCTTTATCATAGTGTGAAGTTTGGAAGCTGAGACTTTTGAAGAGGAATGTTCAAATTCATTTAACGTCCTCGGATGGAGAGAGCTCTGACCAGTGCATACATTTATACCTTACAAAATCACTCACACTTCCCCCAGGGGAACGAAATAACCCCCCATAAGGAACTTTCTCACACTTTAACAATTTGGTTATTCCCAAGAAAAAACACTTTAATTAATCAAGAACATAAATTTTAGCCAGATAAACACCCAGAACAGATCTCCCGTTCATGGCATGAAGGAGGCTGTGTGAACTCATTCTTGTCTCTCATGACCCCTTCACCCTTGTCTGGAGTAGGGAGGCACCTGCTTCCCAATCTTAACTCCATGTCTCCAGCATACAGACTGGTACAAGACTTCTAAACAATCACCCCTATTTAGAGGGAAAGGCAGACTCAAAATATTTGATCTCTCAAATAGGCCTAGGAAAAATATGCTTCCAAAATAGTTATTCAAATAAATGCATTAATGTTTTCATTCAGTTTGATGAGTTTTACTTTTTGAATGGAATGATTTGAATGTTATTGTTCCAATGATATTCCTGCTTTCTGAGATACACTCTCCAAAAACCCCCAAAAGAACCTTATTAAACGTAGCTTAAACATCTGCACCATCATTTTCACTAGAAACACTGAGTCTTAAACCCTCAAAGCTCAGTGGTTTGGGTTTTTGTCATGAAGTTTATTTAACATTTACAGATTGAAGGTTTTCTCTGATGCTCTATATAATGAGCCTTCAGCCTAAACTGGTAAACATCGTTTCCAACAACATAATGAGGAACCAGAAGCCTATTGTTAATTTTCTCTTTATCTGGCACAATTTTTCCTTCCACCCAACTTTTTATTAGCATATGGCCTCAATTAGATTATTAATAAAACATTTATACGGTAACAGAGTTCCCTTCAATTTATTAGATATACATTAACACATGGACTATGAATTGTTTTACAGGTGAAGATTCTCAGTTTTCCAAGTCATAGTCATTCCAAAAAAGTAAAAAAACAAACCACTGGACTTTGTTTTTAAAGGTTAAAGATGTTTTGCTTCCCATTCAGGAAGCTTTTTCAATTCAAGATGTCAGAAATAGCGTTGAGTTCCAGGCTGAAGGCAATGACCTCAACGACTCCCCGTTACTAAGAGGTGGACCTGCTTTTTAGGTTCAATTTACAGGTTTTCTATAAGCCTGGAACTCAACGCTACTCCAGACATTTTGAATTAAGAAAGCTTCCTGGATGGGAAGCGAAACATCTTCAAACTAGGAAAACAAAGTCCAGTGGATTGTTTTTAAACTTTTTTGCTATGAATTGTTTTCCTTTTATTAACTTGCAGGTAAGGAAAACATGATATTTAGTTTCTTTTAACATCAAAGTTTTAGAGTTTAATGCTGCATTACTAAATATGCTACATAATGATCAGTGTAGAAATAAAGTATTATTTGATTATCAGAGAATGAACAGCTCCTGGTTCTATACTTTCACTTCCAACTCAAACTCAGCGGTTTGAGTTGCAGCAGCTTCTGTAAAAACCCTTCAGCTGCTCAGTCCAACAGGTCGGCTCTGGGCTTTAACTCTTTGCTTTGGTTAACCTTTGTCTCCAGCAGGGTCTTTTGAGTTCTTTACTGTTCCTCAGCTTTTTCTTTGGCAAAAAATCTGTAAAACATCTGACAAGGTGCTGCTTTGATTATTACTAGAAAGGAGGGGAATCTCAGAAACTCTGGAAATAAAATGGACCACAAACGCCTCACTTTCTTGCCCGCTTATCCAGTTTTTCTGCTAACGTTGAGGAAAATCGGCGTGGAATATGAAAATTAATTTTCTTTTGGTGCAGCTAAAAAAAAAGTATTTTATATCTTTATAAACCATTTAGTTTTTTTGGTGTGGTTGGGATAAGACTGCTTTTGGTTTTGCAGTACATTGAAAAACAAATCGGTAAACAGATTAAAGCCCAAGTTACAACACTTTTTTTTGTTATTCTGGATGGAAAGGTGTGGTTTTGTTCAAAGTGATGGTCAGACTTCATCTCTGGTGCTTTCTATGGTGCTAACACTCACCTCTTCTCCAGGTTTTTTTCTGGACAGATTCAGTCCAAAGAGGCACTGTGAGAAACATCACCTGTTGTTGTTTTTCTATAAATACAGGTCTCCTACTTCCCTCCTCGGGTGTCGCTTCTTGTCAGAGCTGCCTCTCTGTACGGATGCAGGTGCTGTTCCCCCCTCTTTATTGATTTGTTGGCTTTACCCAGCTGCTCCGACTCACTCTGGATTGAAAACCAAGGGAATTTTAAACAAGTCATAGCTCGATAAGGCTGATGCTGTGAGAACTAAAAGTAAAGTGGTGAGAAATTGAATGTGCTGGCACCAATTTCATGGCTCAAATAGAAATCACACTTATTACGGGATTCTTCGGTGAGATGTTTGCGCCTCTCAGTCAGATTGAGACTCGCTTCCATCTCCAGCTGAAGATTGCCTCTCCAGGACCGTTTAAAAATCCAACACATCTGATTTGGTTTTAATATCCCAGACTTTCTCTGAAGCACAGTGGGGGATCTGAATTATCTGC